CTCGAACCATTTGTAACCCACACGCCCTTGCATCACCTACAAGTCGACAATAATCACTGACGTATCTGAATTCCGGTTTCATCCAAATTAAAATATGCCCTTCTCCAACCACTGCTACAGTCTGTCTTGACGGAAAAAAAATTTACAAAATGTTCAGTTCTCCAAAGGTTCTGAATTCATTCTTCAGGTCAGAAAACATAACCCTCGTCGTAAAGGTCTAAATAATGTGACGCTCCTTGTAAAGTTTTCTTTTTCATTTTCTGTTACTTCATTTCTCTTAAATACGTAATAACGGTATATTTTTTTAACTTGTGTTGGTACAGCACGCGGTACACAGTCTGGCCATCCTTCAACCTACGTCTACAACTTTCTCTGAAATAAATAGCCGTCCCCCTCCAGCAGGAAACAAATTACATGTCCTGTTTTCACGGACACTTCGCTGTTAAGAACTAAGGACATTTCAGAAGTGTTTAGATATCGTAACTCAATACTGATATAATCGAAAGGACGAAATGGTGATTAAATCAGTACAAATGGCAAGTGACTGACAATCTATCTAACCGGAAACCATTAACAAGGCTCAATAAAGTTATGTCTTCTATTCCAAGTTTTTACCTGAGATTTGCCTCCTTAAAATTCCTACTTTTTCCCAGGCAAATACCAAACTTGGCCCGCCAAGTAGATGACACGGAATCTCCAACTTCTAAGTAGTGAATTTAAGATTAATAAATAAAGAATTTAACTTGCATTAGGCAGTTATTCGGTACGAATACGAATATGGTATTAAAACGTTTCGTAACAAGAAAGAACAGGGAACATTTTTTATTAGTGAATAGTTTATTATTAACGATGAAGAAGCTTATAAGAAAATTATAAAATATATTAAGAATGTAGAATTAAGGAATATAGAAGAACACTTATATAAAGTTGAGTTTAAATGAAAGAACCAAACTAGGATGATAAAAAATGGGAATAGAAGAAGGTATGTTTGTAGTTACAGGAATCATGCAATTGTGTGGCGCCACTGAAAATATATTCGGCCACGATCCTCAAAAAGTTGGTGTTGGACGGCCACAGTCTTCTGTTATGAGAACTCAACTCATTGAATGATGACACGAATGTACTCTTAATGTCATAAAGTGTGAACACGAATCACTTGATATTATTTTCGGTTACCTCCATCCTCAATATTCTTTAATTTCATATATTTAAAAAAGGTTTCTCAACACACATTTTTTAATATCATATCAGATGCATAGCAAACGGTATTTACCGCTTAGATTAAAAATAATTTTAAAATAATAATTAATAAAATAACAAATCAACAAGCTTATTAAAGACAATTGCTGAGTAATTCGTGGGCCTGTTAGTGTTAGAAAGTTGGCAGTATTTTTAATAAGTTGTTATGAAGTTTAAAAATCTCATTCCTCGGAGCTAGCTAGTCTATAAGAAAGAGCGAAAGTTGACGCAGTTCTTAGAAGGTTGAAAACCACTGATTTAAAACATCTTCAGACACTGACACGTCGGTAACTGCAGAGACAGCTAAAAACGTAATAACATGGTATAAGGTTCACTAAACACACATCTCGCATGCATTCAACTCCTTAACTTTATAACTGCTACAAACAGTGGCAAATTCCCCCAGTCGCATTCATAAATATAGGTATACAAGGCTGAGAAACGTTTACATTTAAATTAATTTAATGGTCTAGCTACGGGCGGAACAGAAATCATTCTGTGTTGTGCTGAGAGATAATTTTCTGTACTATAAATTAAACATGTGAAATGAATAATTGAGAAAATCTTTCTATTCCTTACTTTCGTAGTTTTCCTCCTCCTAATTCTTTTCCTTTGTCTTGTCGCCATCGCCCAAATTTTTTATCTTCCTCGATTGAAGAGACATTTTATATCCTGCGAGACTGTAACACCTCCCCGCAGAGAACATGTAGATTAAAGCCTTCTGCGACACTACGCAGTGTAGTCTCACGATAAATCACCGTCCTGATAATAGAGGCAATCTAAGCTCCTCCGAAACGTCTATCAATCTCTACGAGACTACAAGATGTGACAGTCCAGAAGACAACAAACTTCAGACTCACCACCTAAAGACCCTCAAATATCTAAACACGTGATCGTAATTTTAATTTACTGTGCTTTCTAAAACATGACAAAATCTTGGGGCCCTCTTCCCAGATTCGGAGTAAGGCTTATACAAATATTTATCAGCCATCAGAGTTTCCTACATCGTGTTTAAATTAATTATTTATAAATCACGATGTGGTGTGTATTATGTTCAATTAATACGAATACGGGGTTATTCTGCCTGCGGTCACTTTGAAAGAACCCATCTGATCCCTAGTCTACAGGGACTATCAAAGATCAGAAAAACGTCAGTCCAGCCGAGACAATAGGGTGGGTTGTGTGGACGGGTGTATTTTAGAAACAGCCTCAGTTGAACACAACAGGGAGCTGAATGCTAGTCTATCAAACAGGCAAGACCTACCTACACACGAGCAAGCTCTGCATGAATGAATATTAGCATACCGCACACAGGTACAGAGGCGAACAAGAACAGTGAAACGCGTGATGTTCAGATCGAATGCGAGGGCGAGCCACCAGCAAGTCAACATATTCCTCCACTGATAAGAAAAGATGCTTCTGCTTTCGCTTTACTGTTTTTCTTCTTATTTTTGCATTCAATAAAAGAAAGAAAAATGTTACAACTTGTACCTGAAAAACACAGACAAGCTACATAAATAGGATCCATTAAAGGCCATATTTTATTAGCACTCAAAATAATTCTGCTGAAAAGTTAATGTCGTGTCAGTCGGTGGACAACTGATACAAGCTTTACTGCGGATGGCATTAGAATCAGGTAGTGCCAGAGGATAACCATGTACAATGAAAAATCCGGTATTAAAAACGTATCTCAACGTTATGTTCTTATCAGGGATAAACTAAGGAAAATCTTATTCAGCGCTGCAATATTGCAAATCTTGAATTTTATTTATTTTGCGATGAGATTCATTGACCTCAAGATGGAGGCAGCAAGCACCTCTGACATGTAAACGGCGCAACAACGCAGAAGACAGCCATCTTCAGATTCACCACCGTGAGACCCTCAAATCTCACAAATTTTAGAGATTGAAATCATGATGTACGGAATACACATCACTAAAACTGTATACAGCTAGTAAAATTTTCCCCTCGTAATCAACGCGATCAGGACTACTACCACCTGTTTGTTACAGTAATGCTTGTGGATCAATTAGAATCCATGTCAAACCAGTTTTCTCGGGCGTGTGATCTATATGCATTACTAAATCATGTAAGTCTACAGTGTAAGCCTATGATTACGCTAATGACTATTCCTTAATGGGTTAACAATATAGGCATTTATGTCGTGCACTAAAAACGAAAAAAAGAACGTTTTTTGCAAAAATAAATCTATAAATTGCAAAGTACATTTGAGTGATGGCAGTCACAGTCTGAGTTTGTGAAAGTGAAATATGTTAACAAATGTATCTAATTACAAAATAATAACTTAGAACTCTGCTACATGAAGTAAACTATAGTTAGCTTTTTTAAATGGTATTTTATCTGTATTGAAGAGAGAGTTCTTAAAAAATGTTAATGCCCTTGCCGATAAAGTGGGGTAAAACGCCTCTTAGCATATTTTATTTTTTTGTCTATTAATTTTAAATTATTTTCATGTTTGGTTTATCCTACTCAGACTTCATAATAATCGTTAATGATCTTCCCAAATTTTCATTGTTTCGGTTTGTATTGAAATTTTTTTTGTTTATATATTTATATATTTTATTTCAGTAGCTCAGAGTGTATAGCATTGAATGAGATGATGGTAGTGAATAACGAATTGGAAAGGATGTGGAAGAAAGCGATCTTGGCCTAATTTAAGGTACTGGGAGGACCACATAAGGACTGAAGACAACCACGAAAAACTCCAATCAGGATAACAGGGCCGAGATTTTAACTCACGACGTCCCGGTTACGAAGCAAAAGTACGTTCGGTGTAGTGAACGGTGAGCGAGCTATTATCTATTCCGTGTTGTAAACATCTGTTGCTATTGTCTAATAAATTTCCAGTTTAATATTATTTAATGTATAATTTATCTTTTCTTTGTTTAATGATTTTACTTCCATTACTTAAATCTTACATTTTTAAAACAAAGTTTAGTAATGACAACAAAATTATCAGATCAGAGTTACTTTATAAAGTTTAATTTTCCGTCTACAACTCATGCTCATTAACATTTATATATTTTTAATTAAATCGTTATCGGTATTTTAGTGCAAGTAAGTTTATTAAACGTACTACCGAAGCTAAAATAGTACCTTCGTAGCAGTTTGGATCTCTTCATTTACATGTAATTTCATTACAAGTTTTTAGAAAAGTCCTGCACACAGAAACGTGTTAACTGCCACTAAATACGAGAACGGAAACTAAAAACGAAAATCTGTTTTTAAAAAATTAAAAGTGCCACTGCTCTTTCATCCAGCAGGCGGCAGAATTTTCAATTGACTAGCAACAAATAAGTCTCTCCAAACTAGTTGAGCTTTTAAAAAGCTACTTGGATTATAAATAAAGTGCTCAGTCATCTGACATTTGTTAAACGCAGTTTTATACGTTTACCTCAGGTACACATTCCCTTAAGAACCATTTTTAGTAAATACTCTCTGTCTGTGCATATTGGCTGCAGAAAAATGAAGGAACCACTTTGAAATCACGCTGTGTCGTGAGAGAGAATTTAACAAACCTAAAAACAAATTAAATATATATTTAATATCATTATTGTTAGAAATAATGTTAATCAGAGGCCTAATGCGAAATATCTTTATTCTCGGTTTAC